CCTGTGAGGGATTGCCTGCGTCCTTGAAGAGCTTGAAGGTCAGAAGTTACAGTGGGAGGTGGTGCCACTGAACAAGTGTCCCTAAATACAATGGGGATAACTGGACCTCGGGGTGGCAGGGACCATGTGGCAGAACCTAATCCCAAAGACAGGGTGGCTATAGTTACAAAAATGGATGACAGAGTCAAAACATAAGTCAGAATAGTTGGATTTGCAGAGACCTGTGGCATTGGCTAGCTGATCATGGTGTCCCTTGGATAGAAAGGGGAAGTCTGCTAAATTCTTACTTGATCTGTATGAGCAAAATCTAGGTCAAGTGAAGAGAAGTCTCACCCGAATCACCAAAACAGAATAATATCTCCTCAGTCAATTGCCAGGCTTGAGCCAGTTTCCAGACCCAGAACCCCTTGATTGAAGGGGGGCCTGGTCCTCTTGAGGAAGGACCCTGCAACACATACTATAAATATTTCTCCCAGCCTTCCCCCAAAGGAACCTATAGCTTTTCATTGGGGTGACTGCCCTGGGGAAAAGGTAACAATCAGTCTTTTGGGGCTTATTGTACACTTGCTCTAATAAACTAACACTAATTCTAGGAGACCCAAAACATGACTGTGGTCCACTGGTCAGAGTAGAAACTTATGTAGGTCAGATGTTCAATGGAATTTCAACTCAGGTTTTTCCCAGTGGGTCCCCCAACTCATCCTGTGGCTGTTTCCCAGTTCCAGAATCCATAATTGGGATAGACATGCTCAGCAGCTGGCGGAATCCCCACATTGGTCCCTGATCTGTGGAGTGAGGGCTCTTTTGGTGGGAAAGCCAAACGGAAGCCACTGAACCACCTCCACCTAGGAAAATAGTAAAATCAAAAGCCCTATAACATTCCAGGAGGGATTGCAGAGATTAGTGCCACCATCAAGAACCTGAATGATACAGGGGTGGTGATTTGCATATCTCCATTCAGTTTTCCTACTTGGCCTGTGCTTCTGCACAGATGGATCTTGGAATCTTGGAATTTAACAAGGTGGTGACTCCACTTGCAGCTGCTGTCCTAGACATAGTGTTACTGCCAAATTACTACATCCCCTGGTTCCTGGTATGCAGCTATTGATCTGGCAAGTGGCTTTTTCATAATATTTGTTAGTTTGGACCAATGGGGGAAATTTGCTTTCAGCAAGGCCAGCAATATACTTTACTGTTCTACTTAAGTGGCACAGGGCTTCAAATAACACCCTATGTCTAGATCAGAGGAACTATCAGAAGGCCGTGATTACCGACAAGTCAATGTATGATTGAAGGAAGAAATGACTTGAGATTGGAGGTTGTGGAGTTTTGAGAGATGAAGTGGGTCTGATTGATGGGAGGGGTCTGAGGAGGCGGAGAGAAGGGTCACAGGAAGCGACAGCACAAACCTGAGACTCGCCCCCTCCTGCCATGAAACTGGGTTCTTGGCATGTTTGGTATTAAGCGTGGGTAATTTATGAAAGTGATCAGACCAAGGGCTTTTTAAAGTCCTGGGTGGAAAAGCCTATTCTTTTTCAGAGAAGGGGGCATCACCATTTGGCAAGGGGCTCAAAGCCCCAGGCAGCTGCTGGTACCCATCTCCTGTTTTTAAAGAAGTGGGGCTGTTCTCCCTGTGATGCTTGTGATGATTAAACTCCAGATTCCAGGGCCCAATAAATAGTTCTGGGAAGGTGCTCCTGAGGATGGCTGACAAGGGTCACCTTGCAGATGGGCCCAAACCCCACCAGGACAGAGTAGGGAACCTTCAGACAACAGGTAAAACTTTAGATGGCTGACAGGTGGGAGATGTGGCAGAAATGTCAATGCTTCTGCAACAATTACTAACTAATATCATACTACAGACCCCTATTAATATTTAGAAAATTGTTTCAATCTCCTTATTGAGTAGCAATTGAACAGCTAAAAACAACTTCCAAATTTCAGCTCAGTCCATAGCAGCTTTTTATGTTTGTGTTTTCCAAGGTGTGTTTTCTTGAATCCAATCCCCCAAAATTACTCATGGTCAGGTAAATTTGGAAACCTCAGGTTGATCCAAGCTGGTAGGTTTCTTCACGGCGGGACTCCTGGGGCCTTAAATGTGCTGGCAGGCTGGGCTAAAGGAGGACAGATGGTCTGCAGCCCCCCAGCCCTCAGCCCAACCCATGACTGCCAGGTCTGGACGCTGTGCTGCATTTGGGAAAATGCAGTTAATTGATTATTAGTCAGCACCTCATTGGC